AGGTTCTAACTTTTAGTAATGTCTCAGGAAAGGGACCCAAGAGTTGTAGACTCTCTGGTAGGAATGTTAGACATATTGGATGTGTTTTTGTTTGTTTGAGACAGAGTTTCCCTTTGTCGCCCTGGCCAGACTGCAGTGGTGTCATCATAGCTCACTGCAATCCCCACCCTCTGGGCTCAAGCGATCCTCCTGTCTCAGCCTCCTGAGTAGCTGGGACTACAGGCATGTGCTACCACACCTGGCTAATTTTTCTGTTTTTGGTAGAGACAGGGTCTCACTCTTGCTCAGGCTGGTCTCAAACTCCTGAGCTCAAGTGATCCTCGTGCCTAGGCCTCTCAGAGTGCTAGGATTACAGGTGTAAGCCACCACACCCGGCCCATATTGGATGTTTTGACAAATAGACCAACTAACTACATCCTCAGGAAGAACCTGGGGCAGGAAATACCAAACAGCTTCTGACCTATTTTAAATACATACATATATTAAAATCCTAGTACATCTTCACACATAAACAGTCATTCAGTACCTTTGGGAGTTTGTTCACAGTACCTCCGAAGGCTACCAAAATCTGAGGATGCTCAAGTCTCTGATAGAAAATGGTGTCGTATTTGCATATAATATGTGCACATCCTCCATATACTGTAGATCATCTCTAGATTACTTGTAATACCTAATACAATGTAAATGCCATGTAAATGGTTGTTACACTGTATTGTTTAGAGAATGACAAGAAAAAATTCTTACATGTTCAGTAAGACACATTTTTTAATATAGTTTCAGCCTGCAGTTGGTTGAATCCATGGATGCAGAACCCATGGATACAGAGGGCCAACTGTACTATGTTGAAATATGACTCCTCCAGATAAACAGCAGCTTTCAAAGAAAGGATAATTAAGATGATAATGGGCTGGGCGCAGTGGCTCATGCCTGTAATCATAATCACTCCAGCCAGGCAACAGAATGAGACCTTGTCTCTTTAAAAAAAAAAGAGAGGCTGGACTCGGTGGCTCATGCCTATAATCCTAGCACTCTGGGAGATAGAGGCAGGAGGATCGCTAGAGGTCAGGAGTTTGAGATCAGCCTAAGGAAGAGCAAGACCTCTCTCTACTAAAAATAGAAAAAAATAAGCTGAGTGTGGTGGCATGTGCCTGTAGTCCCAGCTACTCCAGAGGCTGAGGCAGGAGGATCACTTGAGCCTAGGAGTTGGAGGTTTTGGTGAGCTGTGATGATGCCACTGTACGCCACCTGGGGCAAAGAGTGAGACTCTGTCCCCCCCCCCAAAAAAAATGATAACACGGAATTCCATAAATTTAAAAAGACAGACACATCATCTGTACACGGTTGGACAGGACAAAAATTGACTATAATTAAAGTCTTCAAAATAAAAGGGAGAATGGGAAGAGAAACAGACCCCTAGTATCTGTTTCCATTAAGACATTAGACTTAAGGAAACCTCTTGAAGAATGAAATAAGTCAGTTATTTAGGCCAGTTAAAAAGAAGTAAGATTTATTTCCCTGGAAGTAAGTTTGAGAGGTGAGCTCATTTGGAACTTGAGAGGAAAGGGTGCTGCCATCCTAAGGAGCCCGCCTTTTGCTCCACAGTCAAACCAAGTTAACATCCTTGGAGATTCAGCCTTGGTCCTTGGTCCTAGTCCAGTAGCCTCAGGCCTGGACATGCCAAAAGCCTTTCTTAAGGAGAGCATCCAAGAATAAAAAGATACAGTCAGCTTCCCAGGACTTGACCCAGGCTAGCTCTCTCCTAGTTTGGTCAGTCTGGCAATTCTAACAATCCTAACAACTTTCCCCTTAGCCCTCAGCTGAGGTTTAGCACTAATGTCTGGACCCAGGAGCCTTTGCCCCATCTGCCTTAGCTAATTTCTGGGGGTCCTGGCATGTATGTCCGGAGTCCATGGCCTTCACTTGCTGCTCACCCACCTGGTCATGTGCTTATGAGGCCAAACAGCTACGAAGGGTAGGGCCTTGGGAGTATCTGACATTATAATATCCTGCCATCAGGAACCCTTTCTGACTGCTGGAAGAGAAATCTTGCTCTGGTCCTAGCTGCACCAGCCTTTTCCAATTGCTTCTACACTGATCCTGACTACTATTGTCTTATCCTCACAGAAAGTTGAGGAAGCGAGCGGCCAAAGCCTCGGCCCGACGCCCCAAGCCCCTTGGAAGGTAAAGGGGCAAGAGCCCCGGGACCTCCTGCTCGCCCCTGTGGCCCCAGGAGGTGGATGGATGGATGGCAGCCTATCCATGTCCATCCCAGAACCCAAGCTGATGGATTAGGGATGTGACTGGAAAATGGCCGTTCCTGGGGGGAGGCGAAGGGAGCAGGCATGGGGATGTGCAAGCTTCGATCTTAGGGAACACAAGGAGGAAATAATGTCAGAACAGCTGAGGAGAAGCTTGCCATCTTTAAACTTTCCCCAAAGAGCTTGGACTCCAGCCTCAGCCACCTGCATTCCTACTCCCCGACCTCCCTTAGTTCACCGGCATTCCTGTTTTCTCTCTTCCCTGCACCTTGCCTCTTCCCTCGCCTCTCCCGCACCCGCACTGACATAACTGGAGTTCCCACCACTATTGCTGAATCCAGCAGCATGAGTTCCTGAAATACAGCTCAGTGGTGTTCAGCAGTGTATGGGGAGAAACCGGCCATCCTTCGCTTTGCCCCCTCCCACACTGCATGAAAAGTCCTGCCCAGAAACAGAAAAAGAAACTTCTACCTTCCCCGGGCCACATTAACCATACCTCCACCAACTTCTTTCTCCTTTTTGCAGACCAATCACCAAGCTTAAAGTCAGACCCAAACCCCGAGTGGGCAGGGGGCCAATCAAGAGGTAAATAAGGCTTAGGTTGGGTGGAAAGGAGGGGAGCAGAGAGTTAGGAAGTGGGGGAGTCCGGCTGTAGTCAGGCCAAGAGGACTTTGGCAAAAAGCTGACCAAGAGGTGGAGGAGCAGCAGCTGTTACAAATCACCTTCCAGATCATGTTCCGAGATGTTAAGTAAGGCTGGCCTGGGGATGTTGGGCTGGGGAATTATGTTTGTCATAGGGTTTCGGGGGTTTCTTCATCCTCTGACTACCCTTTTTCCACAGGTTTATTTAGCTCTCCGGTGAGTTCTAGGAGATAATCTGGTGCTTTGCTCCTTCAGATGCCATATTTGGCTCTTCCTCAAGTGGTTAAGTTTGTCTAAGGGATCAGTGTTCCCATCCTACTTTTATTTGATTAATTTTAAAAAATAAGTGCTACCAGCTTACTCCAGATGGAGTAAGACTCAGGTTCCCCTTTGGAACCTTTACCAGGATGGAGTCGGATTGACAGCCCCTGCCTCTCTGGCTCAGTTTACACAATTAGGCACCCAGTTCCACAGTTTTCCTCCTGGGCTCCTTCAGAACTCAAGGGAGTGGAAAGTTTCCAGCCCCAGTGATCACATCTAACTTGTCTTCTGAAGGCAGTTTGCACATTGAAAGTCTCTCTGATAACTTCTGCAGCAGGGGCTGAAGTAGAGAGAGTTCCCCCCTTTCTCCCCTCCTCTCCTCAGCAAAGTCCAGTCTCGGCCCTGGTTCCCTGAGACTCTCATTCCCCAGCTTCTCCCTCTGGTGGTTTCAAAGGAGCTCTTGTAGTGCCCTCTGGCTTAGGGTCATCTGTGCACAGCAGGGCCACACTCTGGCCTTCCCTGACCCCCACATTAAAGCACACACTGTCGTTTTTATTTTGCTCATTGTAGGGAAAGGGGAGGAGGGTGTTTAGAAGATAGATGTCTTTTTCCTGTGATGGCCTCTTTGACTTTTATTTTCAGCCAAACAGGACTTTGGGAGAGTGCCTGATCTCTTTGATCTTCAGGATCCATTTATCCTGAGCTTCCAAAGGTATTCTGTAAAGTCTCCAGGCTTCCTTTGTCTGTGTCGTTTGTAAACTTTCCCTTCTCGTGTCTTCCTAGCCAATGGCTTCAAGTCGCCATATTCCTTCCTTCCTCTAACATCAAGTGATGGGGCACATTACTCAATAATTCACAACCACATCAGCCTCATAGGCCCACTCCACAGTGCCAGGCCTCATCTGCTTCCCTTGCTCTCTGGGCTGCACCCAGCTGTTCTGGGAAAGTGCACCTCTCTCCTCCACAGGCCTCACTGCAGTCTGTCATCTCATTGGTATCGACAAAGAAGTCCCCTCAGTCTCTCAAACATCTCTGCAGCATTTCCAAGCTTTCACATCTCTAGTTAAGTCCCATTTTCCTGCTCAGATGGCTGTGGGACACTCTGTTATGTTTAAATTGCAGGAGCATGGAGCACCTCATTAAAAACTTACGCAGCTCAGCTCAGGTCCTAGGCTGTCTTTGCCAGTTATTCACATCCACCTTCCTTCTCCAGTCACGTTTCCCTCAAATTGTGTGTGTCCTGCGTATGTCAGTGCCAGTCCTTCCTGTGGTCCACCCTCTGGTCTGTTCTTCCTATGACTGCCCAGCATAATCTGTCCTACAGAGTCTCTGGCCTGGAAGCCATTTAGATTGAAGACTTCCTCAGTCCTTTGCATCCTGACTCATTCAGTTATTTCAGTCTCAGCATAATAGAAGGATCTGCTCGCCTTGGCCTCCTGTCACATCAGCCACTCTTCCTGACCATCTCTTCCAGCGGGGTATTTTCCCATCCTATTTGAACGGCAGCCTTAGCCTTGGCCTCCTTTAGGGCCAGCAGCCTGAAACCACTTGGAACAAGGTTTCCATCAGGCAAGTCAAGACTAGCCATTCTCCCTTTAGGGTTCTTCTGCTGCAGAAAGTCCCCAAGGACCCACCTGTCTGGGTAGTTGAGGCTCTTTCAGCCTGGAAACTGAGCAATCCCTTTGTCTCTCCCCAGGGAAACATAGAAGGGGGGAAGAAGAGGATAAAGTGGTTATGAAAGGTTGGGGGGATGGTGGAGGCATGGAGTGGGAGGAGGGTGTGGGGCCAAGAGGCAGGAGCATTGTTTTACCCTACTGCACCTCACTCCTATCCCCCCAGGCTGCTGGCCCAGCGGCAGCAACACTCCTTTGGTCTGCATGGGGTGGCGTGCGTGGGCACGGAGGCCCACCTCTCCCTCTGTTCCCTGGAGTTCTATCGTGCCAATGACACCACCAGGTGCCCTGGGGGGGCCCCTGCGGTGGTGAGCTGTGTACCAGGCCCTCTCTACGCGGCGTCCAGTGGCCAGAAGAAGCAACAACAGTCGAAGCCTCAGGGGGAGGTGTGTGACAGTGACTATGACCTTTCCCATCCAGGTGGAGAACCCCCTAGCCTGGCCACCCCCTGACTAAGCACAGCCTTGACCTTTGAGAACAGAAAGGAGCCTTCCATGGGGTGGGCCACAGACCTGATACCACCCACTCCCTCCCACCAAATCTCATTCATCTCCCAGGTCTACTGAGCCCTTTCCATGCCGATGTTTCCATTCACCTCTGTTGGGCACGTCTTTCTTTTCTATAGGCCCGTGTGCGTCTAAAGGGTGGAGCCCACCCTGGAGAGGGCCGGGTGGAAGTCCTGAAGGCTGGCACGTGGGGCACAGTCTGTGACCGCAAGTGGGACCTGCAGGCAGCCAGCGTGGTGTGTCGGGAGCTGGGCTTCGGGAGTGCTCGAGAAGCTCTGAGTGGTGCCCGCATGGGGCAGGGTGAGGGGGCATGGAGATGGGAGGGAGAGGGAAGGAGGAGGTACACACTCCTGGGGGGTACATTCCTTGGGCAGGCTAGGAGTCCCCTGGTCATAAAATGAAGGCCTAGTTACAACCTTCTGATCTTTGACTTCTGACCCTAGGCATGGGTGCCATCCACTTGAGTGAAGTTCGATGCTCTGGACAGGAGCCCTCCCTCTGGAAGTGCCCCCACAAAAACATCACAGCTGACGACTGTTCCCATAGCCGGGATGCTGCAGTCCGATGCAACCTACCCTACATTGGGGTGGAGGCCAAGGTCAGTCATACTTTCCACCTTGGTTCAGTCTCTATCTCGCACCTTGTCCAGTCCTGACCTCCAATCTGCAGTCTGATAGCCCCAGCCCGCTGCCCCAGGCCCTGCCATCCTGTAGCTCCTACCTGACCCACTACTTGCTAGCCCTCTATGTGCCTCTAAATCACTCTTTGGCCACATCCATGTTGCAGACTTCCACCACCCGACTCCAAAATCTTCCCCCAGCGCTTCCATTCTGTGTCACTACAGATCCGACTCAGTGGGGGCCGCAGCCGACATGAGGGGCGAGTCGAGGTGCAAGTAGGGGGACCTGGGTCCCTTCGCTGGGGCCTCATCTGTGGAGATGATTGGGGGACACTGGAGGCCATGGTGGCCTGTAGGCAACTTGGTCTGGGCTATGCCAACCACGGCCTGCAGGTGAGTGGGAAGGAGAGGGGAGCCAAAGCTGTTGTCTCCAAAGCCTGTGTTTTGGACAGAGGACTGTGGAAATGATTCCCTTGGCCCAGGAGCTGGACATCAGGGCCTCACACAAACACCTCCATATGTCCCCAGGAGACATGGTACTGGGACTCCGGAAACATAACAGAGGTGGTGATGAGTGGAGTGCGCTGCACAGGGACTGAGCTGTCCCTGGACCAGTGCACCCATCATGGCACCCACATCACCTGCAAGAGGACAGAGACCCGCTTCACTGCTGGAGTCATCTGTTCTGAGAGTGAGTGAAGGGTAGGGTGATGCAAGCCAAGGAAGGGAGGCTCTGAATCACCCCTTTGTAGGGAAGAAGGGACTATAATCTGGAGGGGTAATCCTTCCCTGTGGAAAACCAATCTCACACACTCTAGGGAGGGATGGAAGCACCCCTATCTGTCCCTGACCCTCAGCAGTGACTTCTAACACTCGCCTTCCTTTTTCGGTGCAGCCGCATCAGATCTGCTGCTGCACTCAGCACTGGTGCAGGAGACCGCCTATATCGAGGACCGGCCCCTGCACATGCTGTACTGTGCTGCAGAAGAGAACTGCCTAGCCAGCTCGGCCCGCTCAGCCAACTGGCCCTATGGCCACCGGCGTCTGCTCCGATTCTCCTCCCAGATCCACAACCTGGGACGAGCTGACTTCAGGCCCAAAGCTGGGCGCCACTCCTGGGTGTGGCACGAGTGCCATGGGTGAGAGGGTAGAGGGTCAAGTAGAAGGGCAAGGCCACGGGGATGGATGGAGCAAGCCTGCTGGGGGCAGAGCAGGAAACAGGAGTTACCTTGTCCCCACAGGCACTACCACAGTATGGACATCTTCACTCACTACGATATCCTGACCCTAAATGGCACCAAGGTGGCTGAGGGCCACAAAGCCAGTTTCTGTCTAGAAGACACTGAGTGTCAGGAGGGTGAGTTGGGGCCTGGAGTGGACTACGGCACCTCCATCACACAGCCTTGCCTTACACTGACATGTGCCAATCCCTGCAGATGTCTCCAAGAGGTACGAGTGTGCCAACTTTGGAGAGCAGGGCATCACCGTGGGTTGCTGGGATCTCTACCGGCATGACATCGACTGTCAATGGATTGACATCACAGATGTGAAGCCAGGAAACTACATTCTCCAGGTGCCTGGAGTCTGAGGCTTCTAGACGGCAAGTGGGAGGAGTATTAAAGACACCTTTGGATCTGAGGCTTGCACCTGGGTTAAATGGCCTTTCTCTCACTCACAGGTGGTCATCAACCCAAATTTTGAAGTAGCAGAGAGTGACTTCACCAACAACGCAATGAAATGTAACTGCAAATATGATGGACATCGCATCTGGGTGCACAACTGCCACATTGGTATTTGATGGGAAGAGCAACCCAGGAAGACTAGGGGATGGAAGGGAAAGGCTTTCATTCTCTTTTCCCTAAGTTGTTTCTGCGTCTTCCAACCCACCTCTGGAGCTCTCAGTCTCTCCACTTCTACCCACCCTCCCCTGCAATGGGTCTGTCTTCCTGTGTCTGTGCAGGGCGCCTCCAAAACTGCTTATCCACTCTGCAGGTGATGCCTTCAGTGAAGAGGCCAACAGGAGGTTTGAGCGCTACCCTGGCCAGACCAGCAACCAGATCATCTAAAGTGCCACCACCCTCCTCTGCAAACCACCACTGGCCCCTAATGGCAGGGGTCTGAGGCTGCCATTACCTCAGGAGCTTACCACAGAACCCCTGATGTCAGCAGGCCCACTGAACTCATCTAGCTGTGCACTATGGATGTGAAACTGTCATGCAGAAGATATCATCCTCCTTTATAGGCCAGCTGTGTGTTTCTGCAGCCTAGCATGGGGAATCTTTGCTCCCAGGCCCAGCACCGAGCAGAGCAAACCACAAAGAGCAGCACCTGACTAACTGGCCAGGACAACAAATGGCAGCAGTTCATTTTCTTCAATAGGGAGGTCCAGATGGTCAGCTCCAGTACCTCTCCTAAGTTCAGGGGGATACAGCTTTACCTCTAGCCTTTCGGTGGGGGAAAAGATCCAGCCCCCCCTTCATTTTTGACTATAACATGTTGCTAGGTATAATTTTATTTTATATAAAAAGTGTTTTTGTGATTCTTCAGAGCCCAGGGATTGGTGCTGGTGGTTGGAGGGACCTGCCCCCCACTGGGTCATTTAATCCTCTGTCCAGGTGCCCTCAGAGCCAAGGCTAGGACAGCAAGGAGGAAATCAGAGCAGGAGCCTCATACTCTTGCTAATCCATTCATTCTGTGACCTCAGGGGTCACATATAAGGTCAGTGTTTCTGATCCCCGTCGGATCCGCACTGCCAGCTGGGATTGGGTTCGAACAGCTTCGTAAACATCTTCAGCATTTTGTACCAGCTGCTCCCCAATGGCCAAAATCACATCACCAGGCCGTAGACCAGCCCTATGGAGAAAGACAGAGAGAAAGGAGGGAACAGACAGCCCAGTTCAAGGACACATGCACACCTCACTCATCTCCACCTCACAGTGCAGTCTCTTCCTCACCGGTGTGCTGGGGAGCCCAGGATGACTTTGTGGATGAGTACACCATGTTGAACATCAGGGAAGCTTGGTTCTCGAAGCTGTAGCTCAGCAAGGATGCTGAAAGTACACAGATCACTCTATTAGCCACACACAGGCACTCTCCCCACCTTGAATTTACCTCAAGTCTCTCATTGACACACAAATATATGCACAGGACATACACTAGGTTCTACAGATACAACGGCAATTCATTTTCTGCCTGCTAGCAGTTATGAAGTGGGATAGGTACATAAAAGATGACTAATTCCAAATGACACACAGTGTTAAATCAATAGCACGAATGTCATTCTAGAATACTTAGAGAAACTTTAAGGAGGGAGTAGAACTTAAACTAAGCTAAAAGGATGGGTCTGATGTTAATTATATAAAACAAGAACAGCATAAATAAAAAACATGGCAGTAGGAAATCAGGAGATCAGCTTGGCTAAAACAGAGTATTCACGTAGGAAGTAACAGCAGCCAGGTCTGGAAGGCTGATTTAGAGATAGATGGAAAGTGGCCCTTCAATGCCAGGTTAATGGATTAAAGGCTTTAAATCAAAGCAGTAACAGGATGAAATCAATCTGGTGACAGCGCAACATGAAATATGGTAAGAAAGTCAGGATTATGAGAAGGGTCTGCTCCTGTGATAGCTCCAAGTGTGAGGCAGCTCATCTTAGATAAACAGAAATGAGAACAAAGCTCAAGAGAGGTGCCAGTTGCCCACCACTGATTACAATGGACATACAACATATCACTACCTATAATGCTCATACCTGGGAGTCAGAGTCAGCATCATCACCCCAATGTAGCGGCGCTGGGACTCGCTGATTCCAAACCAGGAATCTATGACAGAGGAACAAATGAGCCCACCCAGCTACATCCTTCCTTCCCTTTCCTCTCCTCCCAATAGACCACCCTCCATCAAGGCCCAATGAAGGACCCTCCCCTGTGTCCCACCCGCCACTTTAAAGGAACCCCTTTCCCCATAAGTCAGGCTTACTCTTCTTTTCCCCACGACGCAGAAACTCTCGAAGGCGATCAGAAGGGATGGCAAAGGAGATTCCAGCTGTGACCTTCATGGTGTTCACTCCAATCACCTCCCCATCCTGCAGGGACACAGCCCCCTGTTCCCTAGCCCAAATAGATGGTAGGGGATGGGGGCACCTGAACAAGAGTATCAATGAGTGTCAGGGAGTGTTGATTACTGGGAGACAGCCAACAAAAGACTGCTCAGGGCCAGGCACGGTGGCTCATGCCTGTAATCCTAGCTCTCTGGGAGGCCGAGGCGGGCGGATTGTTTGAGCTCAGGAGTTCGAAACCAGCCTGAGCAAGAGCGAGACCCCGTCTCTACTAAAAATAGAAAGAAATTAATCGGACAACTAAAAATATATAGAAAAAATTAGCCGGGCATGGTGGTGCATGCCTGTAGTCTCAGCTACTCGGGAGGCTGAGGCAGGAGGATCGCTTGAGCCCAGGAGTTTGAGGTTGCTGTGAGCTAGGATGACGCCACGGCACTCTAGCCCGGGCAACACAGTGAGACTCTGTCTCAAAAAAAAAAAAAAAAAGACTGCTCAGAAACTTGTCCAACATCCTTGCATTAGGGAAAACCCACTCTTCTCACACTGACCTGGGGCAGGAATTCTTGGAAGGAAGGATGTCCCACTCACCAGGTTAACCAGGGGACCTCCAGAGTTTCCGAACTGCAGAACAAGGAAAAAACATAGACAAGATATGAGGATCCTAAGCCTGGGGACATAACCAGGACTTAGGTACTTTCTCCAAATTCTCTCCTTTCCTAGCTCATGAATGAATGGCTACATTTGTAGCCCAACCTCTGCATACAGGCTCATCCACCACTTATCAGTTGGTGCCTGTGTCACACAGCCTCTCCCCACTCCCCCAACCTAGTTTGTCATTTCTCTCATATCAGGACGCACATCAATAGCTGCATCAGTCTGAATGTATTCCACATTGGTTTGGGGGAGTCCCAGGTCTCTGGCTGGACGCTGAGCAGAGCTAACAATGCCGGATGTGATCGTGTTCTGCAGTGCAAAGGGACTTCCCATGGCAACAACAAACTCCCCTTGCCGGACATCTGCTGAGCGTCCCAGAGGCAGTGTGGGGAGAGGCTCCTAAAGCAGAATGGGTAGAAAAGACCCGTCATTTGGAGATGAGCGCAAATAAACAGCTCCAACCAGACCTGGCCCACCCTGCTCCCCACCTTGGTCTGAATCCTCAGCGTGGCGATATCTGCCACGGGATCCACAGCGGTGACCATGGCCTCATATGTGTCGCCGCTAGGCAGCCTCACACGGACTCTGCGCCGATCAGCCACCACATGGGCGTTGGTGACGATGAGCCCGTCGGCAGCCACCACGAATCCTGAGCCGTTTGAGATAGGGACTTCACGGCCCGAGAAAGGGTGCCTAGGATGGGGGAAAGCACGCATGTGAGGAGGCTCTGACCCCTTCTGCTCGCCTGCCCTCCGGCCTGTGGTTTGAGTGCCTCCCGGTCTACCCCACCATTACCTATCCAGGATCTCGATATAGACCACGGCAGGTGCAGTCTTCTCCACCACGTCTGCGATGAAGTTGTACTGGCTCCGGGGAGAGGTGGGCGGTGGGGCGGGGACCGCAGCGAGGACGGCCGGGGGACCCCGACCTCCGCCCCACAACAACAACAGCACTGCCCCCCCAGCGCCCAGCGCCACCGCCAGCCACGCGCGCGGACAGGTTCCGGGGGTCCCCGAGATCTCCCGGGTCCGGGGATCTGGGGTTCCCGCAGTCAGTCGTGCCCGGGGATCCGGGGTCCCAGACGTCAGACATGCCCGGGGTTCAGGGACCCCCACAGACAACTGGGCCCGGAAACTGGGGGTCCCATAAGTCACCCGGGCCCGGGGGTCAGAACTTCCTGACGTCAGCAGGGTCCGGAGGTCAGGGGTCAACAAGGGTCCCTTCCCCCAATGAGTTCCCCCCAAAGCCCGCCATCCCCGGAGGCTCCAGCCTGCACCCCGCCCCGCCCTCAGCGCAGCCATCAGCTCCGCCTCGGCTGCCTCTTCGCCCGCCCTACTCAGAGGCGGCGCCCAGGACGCGAGCAGGCAGACTGTAGGACGCGGGGCACGCCGGTACCTGAAGTCCTCCAGAAGAGCACGCCGGGACCCAGGATTCTGGGAGGCCGGCTCCTCCCTCGCCCCGCGAATGCCGGGAGTTGTGGTCCTCGCGGGACGCGAGTTCTGAGGCGACCCAAGAGGACGCGGGGCATGCTGGGACTGCTAGCCCTTCCGGGGCGCCTCTGGACTTCGGGTCCCGGTACACTGGGCTGATGCCCAAAGACTCCGCCTTCCCAGGAGCCCCTGCGGCCGGGTGCGAAGATGGCGGCGGCGACCCGGCACTCCTGAGGCAGCTGCGATGGAGCTTCCTCCAGCGCCGGGGCCGGAGCGGCTCTTTGACTCCCACCGGTAAGAGCCCCGGCGGGAAGAGTCAGGCTCTTGCGTCCTCTTGTCTTTCGGCGCCCTGTCACCTCGCCCCTCAACCCCAGGCTCCCGGGTGACGGCTTCCTGCTCCTCGCGCTGCTGCTCTACGCGCCAGTCGGATTCTGCCTCCTGGTCCTGCGACTCTTTCTCGGGATCCACGTCTTCTTGGTCAGCTGCGCGCTGCCAGACAGCGTCCTTCGCAGGTTCCGACTCCAACGCTCGGGTAGTGAGTGTCAGGGCTGGGCCCGGCCTGAGGCCGCACAGTTACCAACGCTTGTGTCTCCAGGTTCGTGGTACGGACCATGTGTGCGGTGCTGGGGCTCGTGGCTCGGCAGGAGGACTCTGGACTCCGGGATCACCGGGTCAGGGTCCTCATTTCCAACCACGTGACACCTTTCGACCACAACATAGTCAATCTGCTCACCACCTGTAGCACCGTGAGTGGGGGCGAGGCCGAGAACACGTTGGGGCGGTTTTCTGGGGCCCAGCTCAAGGCTTCCCCTCTCCCCACGCGGGTTTCCCATAGGGGATACTGAGCCTAACGCCCAGCCCCACTCCTCTACCCCACATGTCAGTTTTTCTCATTTCCCTCCATTTTTTTCTTCTTGCTTTCTCTCCTCCCCATTCCCAGCCTCTACTCAATAGTTCCCCTAGCTTTGTGTGCTGGTCTCGCGGCTTCATGGAGATGGATGGGCGGGGGGAGTTGGTGGAGTCACTCAAGAGATTCTGTGCTTCCACGAGGCTTCCCCCCACCCCTCTGCTGCTATTTCCTGAGGAAGAAGCCACCAATGGTCGGGAGGGGCTTCTGCACTTCAGGTGGGTGAGCACAGGTATCTGGTGCCAACTGGGTAGATAGTCAAGCTGTGGGCCCTTGGGTTTTCACAACCTTCTTCAGCCTCTAATCCCCTCCATCCCTAGTTCATTTCCTTTCTGTCCACTTTTAGCTCTTTCCCCTGAATTCTTTATTCCCTATTTATCTACTTGTACAGTTTGACAGTTACCTGTTTTAAGTCAGGTATGAGCTGCTGACTGGGCTGCCTGGACTCCCATCCCACTCTCTCCTTCTTCTAGTTCCTGGCCATTTTCTATCCATGATGTGGTACAACCTCTTACCCTGCAAGTTCAGAGACCCCTGGTCTCTGTGGTGAGTGTGTGTTGGACAGGGAATCTCTGGGGCATGGAGGGGAAGTTTCCCACTCCTGGCCCTGGCTTAGGCCTCACTTCATGCCCTCCCCTCAGACGGTGTCAGATGCCTCCTGGGTCTCAGAACTGCTGTGGTCACTTTTCGTCCCTTTCACGGTGTATCAAGTAAGGTATTAACTGCCCTCACTTTTTGGTGGCTGGGGAGAGGCTCACCTCAAGGTCAAGTGGCCTCTGCCCTGTCCATTTGTAGATCTTTTAATGTCAAGTTTCTACTACAGAGGCAACTATCTCCCCACCCTTATCATGAGAAGAGGTACCAAGGTGGGGAAGGGGTGGTAGCCTCTACCCCAAGTGTCCCCAACATAGTCCCGGATTGTTTTTTACAGGTGGCTTCGTCCTGTTCATCGCCAACTGGGGGAGGGGAATGAGGAGTTTGCACTCCGTGTACAACAGGTAGTAGAGTACACAGGCAGGGTGGAGGTGGGGTCCCGGGTTAGGGACTGGGGGAAGAAGCCTTGAAATCTTGACACTCTAGCCTTCCAATTCTCCCTAGCTATTGGCCAAGGAATTGGGGCAGACAGGGACACGGCTCACTCCAGCAGACAAAGCAGAGCACATGAAGCGACAAAGACACCCTAGATTGCGCCCCCAGTCAGGTATGTGGTCTCTATACAGAAAACTTTTGGGGTTTTTTTTTTCCAGCCTGTTGTGATTTCTTCCCAATTCCTGTACTAGTTAGTCATCCTCTCCTTTCTCCTAGTTCTCTACTTACCATATTTCTGATTTTTTTCTTCAGCCCAGTCATCTTTTCCTCCCTCCCCTGGTCCTTCTCCTGATGTGCAGCTGGCAACTCTGGCTCAGAGAGTCAAGGAGGTTTTGCCCCACGTGCCACTGGGTGTCATCCAGAGAGACCTGGGTACGGAAAAGAGGGGCCCCACACAGGGAGACAGGCACAGGGAGGAACAGTGGGTTGTGAAGGAAGAAGGCGAACAGGGAAGGGACTTCTCCTTGCTCCTCCCTTCTTCTTAGCCAGAACTGGCTGTGTAGATTTGACCATCACTAATCTGCTTGAGGGGGCTGTAGCTTTTATGCCTGAAGACATCACTGAGGGAACTCAGTCTCTATCCACAGCCTCTGCCACCAAGGTGAGACCCAGGAAATGGTAAGGTCTAAGACTTGGGTTGGGTTGGGGCAATCTGCATACTTCCCCTTATCCCTGGTCTCTTGTGTTTTGATCCTGAGACCCTAGCACAGTGCCTCTCTTGCAAAGTAGGCATTCGATGCGTGTTTAATGATGATGACTTCGCAAGCCCTCTGACATTGTGATCACCTCAGTTCCCCAGCTCTGGCCCGGTGACCCCTCAGCCCACAGCGCTAACATTTGCCAAGTCTTCCTGGGCCCGGCAGGAGAGTCTGCAGGAGCGCAAGCAAGCACTATATGAATATGCAAGAAGGTGAGGGGGTTAGAGGTCAATGAGTAGGAAGGGGCAAATTGGAGAAGGGAAATATGGAGCTAATATGGTAAAGCCCATGCAACATCTTTTCCTATGTCCTACAGGAGATTCACAGAGAGACAAGCCCAGGAGGCTAACTGAGCTTAAAGGAACAGAATGGCACCCAGAGCCGCAGGACGGAGACTGGGGGCAGCCCTGGCCCAACTCACAACAGGCCGGATGGGTGGGTGGTAAAAAGGGAGGGATGAGGCTCCCCCGATATCACATTAAATTCAGGGTTTTCACTCAAGGTCTCTGTTGTCTCTATGGGTCTCAGAAGTCTCGTGAGCAGGTTTCTTTTCCCTTGGTTGAAGAGAACAGGGCGAGAGTCCTCTTGTAGGTTTGTGGGGGGTGGTTAGAATGGAACTGTCTGAAATCACCTCCTCATGCCAAGAGAAGAGTGTAACTGAATTGAAGACCTACCATCGACTGGACCCCATCTTGGGTGTTCAGCCTAGGTTTTCAAAGAAGCTACTACAAAACTGCAAGTCCCAGGATGCCTTTCATAAGCACAGAACCTATCATCCATAGAGTTCACACATGCTCAGTGTGGTGGCTGGAGCCTGTTTTCCATAGGTTCCTGGCTAGGCTAAATAAGGTGGAGCAAATGGCCCCACCCCAAAAACAGGCTCCAGGATTGAGTTAGAGCCCAGCTCCAGGGTGGAGCCGGAATTTACCTTTGTACTACACGTGGACAGCGTTAGTGGTGACTGGCTGCGTAGGTCTGGAACTGACTGCCATCCTGACACGTCTCAGAGCTGCAAGCAGGTTTGAATCCAGGATCCTTGTGGCCCTGCTGTCCCTCCCCAGCCTTCATATTCTTTAACCTTTTCCCCTCAGGACCTTACCACAGGTTATTAGGTCTCACATAATTCCTGCTGCCCCCAAGGCCCTTGCCTGCCACAGGATTTCTACTATACTACCCAACTACAGGGTAATAGTCCACTTTTGATAGTCCCTTATCAAGACACAGCACACTATTTCCTGGCAGGCAAGAAATGCTGGGAAGGATGAAGGACCCCAGGACATTATCACCTGAGGGTAGAGGTTAGGGATCAGGGCTGAGGTGGGAAGACGTTGTCAGTACCAAACATGAGGCCTTACTGGGTGCCCTGCCTTATGTAGGTCCTGCTGGACAGCCACCATGGCCTCTCAGCCTCTCAGGCTGACAGAAGAGCCTGGTCCAAGTCCTGGGGAGTCTGAACTGGCTGTGAACCCTTTTGATGGGCTCCCCTTCTCTTCCCGCTACTATGAGCTGCTTGAGCAGCGCCGGGCCTTGCCCATCTGGGCTGCTCGCTTTATCTTCTTGGAACAGCTGGAGAATAACCCCACTGGAGTCGTGCTGGTGTCCGGGGAGCCTGGCTCTGGCAAGAGCACGCAGGTGGGAGGGATTCTGGGAGTGGACAAGGGGAGGAGCTAGGGGATTGTCCTTTCCCTGGGCAAGGGTAGGGGCTGGGCTGCATGGGGTCATGGGGGAGGTAAGCAAAGGGAGATGGGTTAGGCTGGCTCCAGGGCACTGGTGAAAGACTAGGGGACTCCCCAAATAACGAAAGATTAAACTGGCCATAGTTCCCCTGGCACTTCTGACTGAAGTCCTAGGTCTCCCTGATTGGTTGTCCCTCTCTGCCTCTCCCTCAGATCCCTCAGTGGTGTGCAGAGTTTGCACTGGCCAGGGGGTTCCGGAAGGGACAGGTTACTGTCACTCAGCCCTACCCTCTGGCAGCCCTGAGCCTGGCTCTGCGGGTTGCTGATGAGATGGACCTGACCCTGGGTCATGAGGTTGGATACAGCATCCCCCAGGAGGACTGCACAGGGCCCAACACCCTGCTCAGGTGGGACCCTCTACAGGGCTGACTTGAAGCTAATTTCTCTCATCCAGTAGAAACAAGCCCCGTCCTCTAACATCTCACCATACCCTCCCTCAGCCCAACTCACCCTTCAAATCATGCACAGCACAGCAGCTAAATTAAGCCCTTGAATCCCAGCCAGGGATTCAACCTGTCTTGTCACAAAAATCTCATTTCCTAGCTGTGTAGCTTGTGAACAAAGTGTTTTCAGTGGGATTATGGGGTCATTGTTAAGGGTCCACAGGCAAAGGAAGTCAGTCACAGCATCTTTTTCTGACCTTTAATACCAAAATCTAGGCCCCTTAGAGAGAAGTTCCCCTGGGCTTCTGGGGCTGGCTAGTGTCCACACTGACTCCTCTGCCCACTACCAATGCCAACAGATTCTGCTGGGACAGGCTGCTTCTGCAGGAGGTGGCCTCAACCCGGGGCACTGGAGCCTGGGATGTGCTGGTGCTGGATGAGGCTCAGGAGCGCTCAGTGGCTTCAGATTTGCTCCAGGGGCTACTACGAGATACCAGTCTGGGAAACCTCCCAGGGGGGCCCAGAGTGGTTGTGGTTACTGATCCAGCCCTCGAACCTAAGCTCCAAGCCTTTTGGGGCAATCCTCCTATTGTGCACGTACCTAGAGAGCCCGGAGGCAGTCCCACTCCTGTCTTCACGGACACTGTCCCTACCGATCGGGCGGAAGCTGCCTGCCAAGCAGTGCTTGAGTTGTGTCGCAAGGAGACTCCAGGAGATGTGCTAATATACCTACCTAGTGAGGAGGTAAAAAAAATACATATATGGACTGCAAAAGGAGGTACTCACTTATACCATTGTCCTGTCCCAGGGAAATGGGAGTAATGCTTGTTAGGACAGCAGTGTTGTAGTGTTTACTCTCTGCTGGGGTCCTGGGGAAAAACTCAAGGATTTCAGGGTAAAGAGGTCTACCACTCACTTTTTTATTCCCTCTAATGCAGAGGTTTGTTGCTCAGTGAAACTTTGAAATTATAATACACTCAATTTTATGAGTATGTACATTTTTTCAAAGTGAAGGGCCATTCATCAGTGTTCAAAGGGGTCTATGACCCCAAAAGGTGAGCACCGCCCTAATGCCCCACCCTTCTCCTTAGGAAATTTCCCTATGCTGTGAATCCTTGTCCAGGGAGGTGGAGTCCCTGACTCTCCAAGGGCCTCCACTACGGGTGCTGCCCCTTCACCCAGGCTGTGGTCAAGCCATTCAGACTGTGTACGAGGACATAGACATGGATGCCCGAAAGGTCGTGGTTACTCACTGGCTGGCTGACTCCTCCTTCTCCCTCCCTTCCATCCAACATGTCATTGACTCAGGACTGGAGCTCCGAAGTGTGAGTGAGAAAGAGATAAGGGGGAGTGGGGCTAAAGATAAAAATGGCCCACTCTGATCTGTCTTGGCCTTGGTTGGGGGGCGGGCGACAGGTTTACAATCCTCAGATCCGAGCAGAATCTCAAGTATTGAGGCCAATCAGCAAGTGTCAGGCAGAGGCAAGACGACTGCGAGCAAGAGGGTTCCCACCAGGTAAGAGCCTTTGCTCTTGCTGAGATCAACCACAAAGAGAATCATCACCATGCAAACCCTGAGGAATCTACGGTGGTCTTCTTTCTCACGTCTTTCTCCCCTCAGGATCTTGTCTCTGCCTGTATCCTAAGTCCTTCTTAGAACTAGAGGCTCCCCCATTGCCCCGACCCAGGGTGTGTGAGGAGAATCTGAGCCCTCTGGTGTTACTACTAAAGAGGAGACAGATTGCAGAGCCAGGGGAGTGTCACTTCCTGGACCGGCCTGGTGAGCACCCCTCCTGCCCAAGTGCTGCCATCTAACCCCCCCAGCTCTGAAACCTCACACCCTATACCCCTGTTTCCTCACCAGCTCCAGAAGCACTGATGCAGGCCCTGGAAGACTTAGACTATCTGGCAGCCCTGGATGATGATGGGAACCTGTCAGACCTGGGTATCATCCTATCAGAGATCCCCCTGCCCCCTGAGTTGGCCAAAGCCCTGCTGGCTTCATGCGAGTTTGACTGTGTGGACGAGATGCTCACCCTGGCTGCTATGCTCACTGGTATAAATCATTCCTATAAATCAGTGGCTCTTGCAGCCACTTCAGCACTTCCCCTTGTGCTTTTGTCCTCCTAAGGCCAGCCCTTCCCTCTCTGCTCTAGTTCCTGCCCTCACAGCACCTAAACAAACAGGCTTAATCACCTATCCCTCTCCTGTCTCTTTAGCCTTTTCTCTCTGCTGGTCCTTGTCCCTTGACATGCTTGAATCTCTCCTATCTGTTACTGCTAAAACTCACACCCCCCTCTTCCTCAACACTATGCTCCCCTTTGGCTGTCCAGCATAATCTCTATCTTGCTCTATCTAGTGTCTTGTGTGCCACTGAATATCAGCTTCAGGCCCACCATACCACCGAAATGGCTTTCAGCTCACCAGTGACCTCCCAGATACCTAACCCAATGGACACTTCTGAGCCCTTATTCATGACGCTCTTGACACTTGAGAGTGCTGACTGCTCCCACCTTGAAACTGCCTCCTCCATAAGCGTCTGTGATGCCACTCCTCACTCCTCATGACTTTCATCCTACCACTCTGGCTGTTTCCTTAATCTCCTCAGTGGGCTCTTTGTCCTTTGCCTATGCATTGTAAGTTGGACTACAAGGTTCTATTCTTACCCCTTTTGTCTTCTCACTCCCTGGGCTCTCTGAGCAAATTCATTCACGCTCCTGTTTTGAAGCTACATTTATCCTTAAAATTTCCAAACTTTGTACCTTGTATCTTTCAGCCAATAATACCATTCTACTAGGAGAAAGAGAGAGAGAGAGAGAGCGGGAGAAATTGCTCCAACTTCTGATGGGCATTTCTACCAAAATAGTCAACAGCACCACAGCTCAGAACTGAACTTAAGGACTGTATTAAACTACCCCCTCACCACCTTAACCACAAAATCTTTTCCTGTCTTTGAATTCTCAGCTCAGATGATACTATCATTTCTGCTGCTCCACTACCACCATTTTAGACATCGTTCTACAGGTTCTTTCATTTTTATCTCCTACATGTCTTTTAAAAAATTCTTCTACTTCTCTCCATATTCACTGCCAGAGCGAATGTTAGGGCCTTGTCATTGTTCAGCTAGATTCCTTCAGTAGTTTCCTAATGAGTCATGTGAACTTTTTCAAACACATGGACTCTCTTACTTAAAAACTCTTCTTTAACAGCTATTCTTTACCTTCAAGATAGATGTAAACTCCTTTGCACAGCACATCTAGCTTCTCATGATCTTGCCTATACCTACCTCTCCAGCTTTATCTTCTGCCATTCTGCTGCATATCATTTCCGCCACCCACACCAGGTGGCTTGCAGTTCCCAAATATGCCATGTTATTAAGTTCTGTGCCATGCTGTCCCCATAGACTGGAACGCTCTCTCTACCCCTTCTCCACTGAGCTAATTCCTACTCAAATTTCAAATACTGGCCCAAGGGTCCCTGACCTTTTCTCCCACATCACTCTTGTCCCCACCACCACCAAAGCCTGGATTAGGTACCCTTCCCTTTGTTTCCATGGTACCACATACGTATGCTTGTCATGCTTATAAAGTCTGCTTACTCGTTGGTTTCTCCCACCAGACTCTAAGTTCCTTGAGGGCAGAGACTGTCTTTCATTTATTTATCCTCAATGTTTAATAAAGTGCATAGCACCTAAAAGTTATCGATGTCTTTTGAATAAAGTTTCCAAAGGAACACTTCCACCTTTTTGTTGTTTTACCTGTACTTTACTATCCTTTCTCATTCCCCAAAACTGGCTTTCTCTCTTCTGCCTCCAGCTGCCCCTGGGTTTACCCGTCCTCCACTCTGTGCAGAAGAAGCTGCCCTGCGTCGGGCCCTGGAGCACGTGGATGGCGACCACAGCTCTCTGATCCAGGTGTATGAAGCCTTCATACAAAGTGAGCTCTGCATCCTCTTATAGAATCACAGATTTTCCTAAGAAGGGGTGTGGTATACAACCAGCTGACAGATCTCTGTGCCCAGGAAGAGGTGGCCCTTTGGCCAAGGGTTGGGTTCTTTCAGGGTCTCAAGGACTTTAGTTGTAGCTGTTCCCTTTCCTCTCCTAGGTGGAACAGATGAGGCTTGGTGCCAGGCTCGAGGTCTAAACTGGGCAGCTTTGTGCCGAGCCCATAAACTTCGGGGAGAGCTCCTAGAACTCATGCAGCGGATTGAACTTCCCCTGTCCCAACCAGCCTTTGGCTCGGAGCAGAATCGCAGAGACCTTCAGAAAGCACTGGTGTCGGGATACTTCCTCAAGGTTAGGGGAAAGGGTTGGGGTGAGGCTCATAAAAAGAGCAAAGGGCAGAAAGAACAAATATTGCTCATAAAAAGAGCAAAGGGCAGAAGAACAAACCCCCTGTGAAATTGGGGTCCAGGTGGCCATTCAAAGATTCTTTAGAACAAGAAGGACTTTTCCTTTGAGGCTTTGGAGTACAAGAGTCTGTGGAAAATGCCATATTGTATAGTAGGTACCAGACAACATGTAGAGGTAATGCTTTACTTTTAATACTCTTACCACCTTTACTAATTCTTTCTCAGCCACTTTTCTTTTATCTGCTATCTGCCGCCTCAGTTTTACTTATTCCATCAATATCTCTGCCTTTCAATGAGGTGGCCCGAGACACAGATGGGACTGGAAATTACCTGCTCCTAATCCATAAGCATGTGGCCCAGCTCTCCTCCTACTGCTGCTACCGAAGCCGCAGGGCTCCAGCTAGACCCCCACCATGGGTGCTTTACCACAATTTCTCCATATCCAAAGACAACTGCCTTTCCATTGTTTCTGAGATTCAACCACAGATGTAAGTTCCCTGACACCACTGTCATACTGCCCATTCCTCTCCCTGGGGCCAAAATGATGGCTGGTGAGTTAGAGAGACTTAAGAAGAAGGAATCTTAGTGGTTTATAATACCATACAATTTGAGGAGAGAGGATTTGTGGAAGGGATGGTGAGAAGTTTAAGAGTCTGAATTTTAAAAGAAGATACAGATCATCTAATTGTGACTCTCTCTGTCAGGCTGGTGGAGTTGGCCCCTCCATACTTCCTGAGTAACTTGCCCCCCAGTGAGAGCAGAGACCTCCTGAACCAACTAAGGGAAGAAATGGCAGATTCTTCAGCAGGGAGTGAATCCTCCTCAGCCCAGGAGTTCAGAGATGCCTGTGTCCTGCAGTAACCTGCCTACCTAAGGAATGGAGCTGAACTCATCTCATCGCATTAGATCCTCCCTCAGGCTAGCATCAAGGCAGCCAGCCAGATTTAGAAGCCAAAGTTTTAGGATCAAATGTAAATCCTAGAACCTGAGCCCAAAGAAATGGTGGGGTGAGAATGGAGAGAATAGGATAAGCCTCAGTCTACATAGGGTAGGACCCTTTCCTTAGCATTCTCTAATTTAATGGAGAGGGACTGACATGCTCCCTATCCCCCCCAACTTATGCCAAACACATTCTTGTACTCCCCTTTTGGTCTATAAAAGATTTTTCTTTTTTCTATGATGCCCAATTTGAGTTTGGTTCTGCAGCACCATATACAACACCCATAAGTCAGAGATGACACTATATCAAAGATCCAGGGCCAATTCTTCCAGCCGTAGCCTCTTGCCTGGTTCCCATCTCTGGTCAGGCCTTCATGCTATGGCCAACATCACTGTCACTAGCACAGAACATGAGTCAACTGGCTATAGTTGGCCTCTGGCCCTACCTCTCTTCCCTCTGTCACTCTGCTCCAGCCTCCAGGCGAGGAAGAATGGGGGTGCTAGAGGACTCAGACAAAATCTTCCCTTTCTTCCTCATACAACTTAAATCCTACTCCTTTTAAAACCTGAAGGCTATTGCAACCATCTCCTAATTCGACTTTCCATCAATAAGCTTCTCAACATCCCCTGGCCCACCCACAAGCTGAAGTCTTTCTAACAACTTCAGAGACATCATGCTTTCCTTTCTTTCCAGAGGGGTACTCCTTCCCCTTTTCTGTCCTTGGACCATTAACTTAGGTATCCTCCATCATCTCGCACATTGTAAATGTGTTTGTAGAAAATGGTGGAAAAAAAGCTTTATCTTTAGTCCTTAGAACTCCTCTTTTCTCCTCAGAGTTCCCTTCCTTGGAGAGTCTATCTGTTCTCATCATTTCATCTATCTCCACCTATATGTGAATGTCAACTGATCTCCCTCAAAGGCAGTTTTCCAGTATTTATTCTCTCTAGGTCTAGCATTTAGTTTTGCTCCAATCTTCCCAATTTCCCCTTTATCATCCACAGCACCATTGATTTCCTGATCCTCCACATTTCCAGTCTTGGAATCTGTCATTCTTCTTAGTCTTGTCACTTCCAAATTATTTGCCAAATTCTTCTCACCCTAACTCCACTGTGCCCATTAACTTTATCCACTGTTTCCTCCTCTCCCTTCTTTGTCCCTCCCTGTGCGACACCAGAGCCAGATTTTCTTCCTAGATTTTCTCTTTGGTTGGGTGGATAAGCGTCTGTCTCGCCTACCGCCCAGGCGCGTTGTGAGGCTCAAGAGGGAGGACGTGGCCAGCAGGCTGAGCGCATACAACATGAGGCTCAAAGGCAGGAGGGAATCCTTAGCGATTATTTTACAGTTGAGGGTGAAATGCCCAGCGTGGACAACCCTCTGTTTCCTGTCACAATCAGCCAGACCGTTGAGCTCCAGCACCTCCTCCATTACTCCGCAGTCTTTGGCGTTTTCCTTCCTTCACACCTCTGGTACAGACCCAACCAGCACCGGCTGCAGCCGCCCTTCCCAGCTCGGGTCGGAACGCAGCTCGAGCCGGCAGAACCCAGCTCCCGACCTACCCTCCCAGAATCCAGAGTCCCTCAGGAGAGCAGCTCCCATTGGCCAGCCCGTCCCCCTTCCCGCACCTCATTGGCTACTGTCTTGCAAGTCCTGCCCTCTCGGCGCCTCAGGTGCCAGCTGTGAAGCGGGAAATGGCGGGAAAGGCAATGTCTGAGCGCGCCCGGCATCAGCGCAACGCTGGCCTGGGAGCCCGCCGGTGGCTGCGGAGCCCTCGATGATAGCCTCAGAGACTTGCTGCTCGGCTACCACAGGACCATGGGCGCCGGGAGCCGCGCACTCCACCGCTCGGGGCTCAGCGTTCTAAGCTGCGCCTCAGTCCTGAAAAGAGCGCTTGGCCGATTAGGCAGGCGTCGCTCACACCACCGAGGCGAGCCCGGACACGGAAGCCACCTTGTTGTCTTCGGCCCAGGGCTGCAGGTTCTGCAGCGCGAAAAGGGACGAGTTGTGCAGGCAGAGCGGGTCCGGGGGCAGCGGCGGCCGGAGGGGCCGAGGTAGCGCGTCCTGCTGCAGGTGCAGGAGCAGCCGGCCCGCGCGGTGCCGCTCCGCCTCGCGCTCCTCCGCCGTCTGGCGCCTGGGCGGGCGAAGACGCGGGGTCAGCGAAGCTGGCCCTCGCCCACCCCGCACCTGACTGGCCCTTGGCCCGGCCCGGGGCCCCAGTCCGCCCTCTCCCGCGCCGCGCCTCACCGCCACTTGGTGCGTCGGTTCTGGAACCACGTCTTGACCTGTGCGTCGGTCATTCGCAAGGCCTTGGCCAGCGCTGCCCTCTCTGCCGAGGCCAGGTACTTCTGGCGCAAGAAGCGCCGCTCGAGCTCCAGCACCTGCGAGCGGGAGAAGGACGTGCGCGGCTTCTTCCGCTTCGGGGGCGTTCGGTTTTGGTAAGGGTGGCCTATGCGGCGCGTCCCGGAGAAGGGCGAGAGCGCAGCTACCGGGAGGAAGAAAGAGCAGAGCAGGGCAGGGTTTGCAGGGTGGCCGGAGGTGTCACTGAGAAGAGAGTGCGGCTGCCCAGGCCGCAGAACTCCCACTCCCGCGTCCGGTCCTTCCCTGGCCCCAGCCTCTGTCCCGCATCAGCAGAGGCCTCTAGACCAGAAAGGCCCTCAGAAGAAATGGCCCTCCCCGTTGGGTGAGGGAGAGACGTCCCCCATAACTTCACCCTCCCCTCCCCGCGTTGTGGACAGTGGGACTGCAGAGGAGGGCGCGGGGCACCGACGGCAGCTCCCTCCCCATTGCCTGCAGGACCAAGAAATCCGAGTTGGGGAATGATGCCTTGGGATGATCTGGGGGAAGGTATGAAAGGGATCCTTCAGTTGGAGCGGAAAGATAAGAGATGAGGAAACAGGTCAGAGTGGGACATGACGCTGGGTGTGGGGGTGTGGGACAACCTCACCCGTGAGCCGGTCCTTGGCAAAGCGGCGGCCGCTGTCCATCCAGGGGAAGGTGAGTCCTGCTAGGCCCCCGGCGCCGCCCAAACCCGAGGGCCCAGGCACTGCAGGCGCACCTCCCGTGGGCGGTGGCACGGGCAGCGGGCGATGAGCAGGGACGCGGATCACACCGCCCGGGCCCACTCCAGAGCTGCCGGGTAGCGGAGCCAGTGAGCCAGCGGGACCGTAGCCTGAGGCTCCGTGGAATCCACCCGAGAACGCCGCACTCTCCCCATGACCCTGGCCAACACGACCCGGGCCTAGGCCGCCCCCGGGGGGTTCAGGGCCGCTCAGGATCTGATCGATGCCGAAGCTGATTGGCTCGTGGTGTGGGAGGTTGTGTGGAGCCAGCATCGCTGGCTCCATGGGTCCGGGCCAGGGAGAACCTCGGGAGATTTGGCGGTTGGGGAAGATGCCTTGGGTAGCTCCAGGAGCCCGGCGGTGGCGCGCTCCAGACGGCAGACTCAGGGGCCTGATGGGCTGGCCAAGGCGGGGCGCCGGGGCCCCCGGAACGGCAGCATCCCCGTCCACTGGGAGCAGCGGCGCCCCTGCCAGCCGCTGCCAGGCGTCCGCGCGGGGACTCGCATCCCGGGGAGCGCGGCCAGCTGGGGCCCCAGGAGCTCCCTTACTGACTCTGAAGCGCAGATGGACTAGGGGCTGCCGGGGCGGCTGCCCGAGTCCGGGGTGGAGAGGGTTGGCCAGCTCGGGCTTGGGCAGTGACTGACAGATCGGCCCCGGGTGGGTAGTGGGGGCTGGGGATAGGGCGGGGGCGGGGCCCGGCCGTTAAAGGGGAAGGGACGCCTGTTTGTGCCAAGCGCGGGGGAAGACCGGAGGGCGGAGATGTGCCGGGCGGGTGGAGGCGGGCAGGGGGCTAGAGTGTTAGGGACGAGGATCGGCACAGGAGGGACCCCAGAGTGGACCGCTGAATCAGCGGAGATGCTCACCGCGCATCCATCCTCGCTGGCCTCTGTCTTTGGGCTGTCTCGGCCTCACCGGCTTCCTCCGCAGGTGCCTCCTTACCCAGCCCCCACTCTTCACCTCCCGATGGATCCTGCTTGACAACTCCTGGATTCGTTGTGGCCCCCGCCTAAGTGCCCTCGAAGACTAAATCTCGTTGTGGTTTCCTGGCTGCGTAAGAAGCGGCTGGGGAATGGCGCCCGGCGAGCTGGAGGCCCAGGAAGAGGACAGGTGTGGGAAGGGGTTGGCAAGGCGCGTCGGGTGGGCTAGGGCGGGGACAACTACTCTGGGCCGGTGATTCTGATGCATCTCCTGGCCTCTCCTGTAGGGCCCCGAAGCCCCGTCCGGTTGAATCAGTAATTGGTGCCCTGAATTTCTTAGAATTTCGATTTTCTGAAATCAGTGTAAAGCGGACCCATGGCTCAACCCAGGCCAACTCAGGCGGGTGGAAGCTTGGACTGGCGTTCTACCCTCGGCTGCAAATGCAGAGGGCCCCCAGTGTGGAACCATTCTGCGCCTAGGAAATCTATTCTCACATACTCTTCCCTCCCACAAAGGCGGGAGGGCGAAATCCCCACAGGCGACACGTGGGACCTCACTGAGGCCTTGGGAGGATCTCAGCCACCTAATTTCCCATAGACACTTTGCCCCACCCAAGCCCAGAAAATGCGCCTGGAGCGTGTCAGAGAAGGGAGGTAGGGAAAGACCGAAGCCGCTCGGTGACCTTGTGACCTATGGCCGCGGACCCAGAAGCTTGGAGTGTGTGAACTCTGCGTCCTTTCCCGGGATGGGACCCCCGCCGGGTAGGCCCCTGAGCTTTAGACCCGCCCCCGCCGCCGCCCTGCCCGGTGCAGGCCGCCGTAATCGGGTTAGCTGGGCCAGAATTACATTACCTTCCCCGGCCCGCCCCGGCCCCCGGGGGGGCCCTGGCGCCTCAGAGCCGGTGAGACTGGGCGCAGGGAGGGGGGCGCTTCTACCATCCCGCCGGCGGGTGGGCACTGAAGAACAACTCAGCCTGCCTCGGACACGCGGTGGCCAAAGAACCCCGCCCCACTGTGCCAGCCCTGACCCTCGCCCCCAGCCCAAGCCAGTGTTCAGCTCCACCCTGCTGATTTCCCGCGTGAACCGAAATGCCTTCTAAGTCTAGTAAATGGGTCTCCCTGGGAGCACTGATCTTCCAATTGATTCTTCAGGATCTCCTGGGAAAAACTCTGCCCCTCCTTTCTCCCCAGCAGATGGACTAGCAGCCTGGTGCCTGGGGCAGGGTGAGGGGGTCTTTTCTCTCCTGGGAACCAGGAATGATATTTGGGCATCTGGGCAGGAAGAGAAAGAAGAGTGAGCTCTCTCCACCAGCCCTGCAGTGTTGTCAGAAGCCTTAGGTCTGAAGGGGGTGAACCAAGAGTGGTGGTGGGGGGTTAAGCAGTAGGCATTAATAATATGTGACATGCTCCCCCACCTCTATCATCCAATTTTCCCCAGCCTTTCCTCAGTCCTGCTCACAGCCCCTTCTGAAAGAGGGTGGGGCTCTTGTCAATTTGGCAGCTGTATTTTTATCTTGGTGGAGAAGACAGACAACCTCCCCTGTCCCTTCACAGAAACCCAGCACCCTTTCTCAGCAGTAAAGAGAACTACAAGGAAGCATGAAACCTCTGCTGTTCAGGCAAAACCTCAGAGAGATAGCAAGGGTTGGACTCCCCAGGATGGGAACAGAGACCCTAGGGAGATAGCAAAGAAATATAGCCTCTGAAGGGGTTTGGCCTGCAGAAAGGAGTTTGCCAGTGACTTTCTCTGCTCTGAAGGGGGAAGGGGTGAATGAATCAATGAATGAAAAAAAGGCAACATTGTGCAGACCTGTACATCCGTACCCTTTGAGGTGTGCACAGATAGTACTGCTACCCAACTGATCCTTTGAGGAGAATGGTCACAAACTCAGTAGTACGTGCACATCTTCTGGGGAGTTTTGTTTGTTTGTTTGTTTGTTTGTTTTTTGAGACAGAGTCTCACTCTGTTGCCCGGGCTAGAGTGAGTGCCGTGGCGTCAGCCTAGCTCACAGCAACCTCAAACTCCTGGGCTCAAGCGATCCTACTGCCTCAGCCTCCCGAGTAGCTGAGACTACAGGCATGCGCCACCATGCCCGGCTAATTTTTTCTATATATTTTTAGCTGTCCAATTAATTTCTTTCTATTTTTAGTAGAGACGGGGTCTCGCTCTTGCTCAGGCTGGTCTCAAACTCCTAAGCTCAAACAATCTGCCTGTCTTGGCCTCCCAGAGTGCTAGGATTACAGGCGTGATGTTTGTTTGTTTTGAAAAAGATTTTAGTGTCTTACTTAAAGAACAGAGAGCATCCAGTTCTGTCAGCCACAGACCTGGGAACATCTCCTCCTCTTCTTCTCCTCTTCCTCCTTCCCCTTCTTTTTAAGAGTTGAGATCTTACTGGCCTCCAACTTCTGGACTCAAGCAATCCTCCCCCCTCATCCTCCCAAGGAGCTGGGACTACAGGGGCTACCAACCACCACTCCTGGCTCAGCTTGTCATGTCTCTTGCCTCCACCTCTCTGATTTTCTGATTCCCAAGGAAAGGCTGGTTCCTGCTAGTCCATGTTGAAGACAGAGGCACTGGGGTGAGTGCCCCTCATGACTGCTTTGCATCTGTCTTATCATATCCTGTGTTGTTCCCAACCCCCCTTAACTCTTTAAGTCTTCAGTCCTTCAAGCCTGCAGCTGCATAGAAAGAGGCCAAGCTGTTGGCCTGGGCTCATTCTCCTTCCTGTTGTTGATGCAGTGTTCTTCATTCCACATGGTCCCCGCTCCTATATCATCATTTCTCTCATTGATTTAGTCATTCCTACCCCAACTATCTCAGATCTGTATCATTTGGACAAAGTCTTTGCCTGACTCTTCAAGAGAAATTATGTTTTTCTTTTCCCTTTTACTGCCCACACCCACTGCCTCCATTTCCCCATCAATTTATTCCTCTTTTAACCCAATACAAGCTGGCTTCACTACACTGACCCTTTCTCAGAGAGCTCTAGTATCCTGTATCGCTTTCCCAGGACTTCTCTGACCTGTTCTACTTTATTGATCAGTGTTTCTTGAAATGTCCCTTTTTATTTTTAGTTTCTGTAATATTGTCTTATTCTATATCTTTAGACTTTCACAGTCACTGCTATGTCTTTCCTCCACTGATTTTGCTTCTTCCACTGAAAACTGTGAGCATTTTTCAGAACTCAGACTTAAGCTTTTTTTTTTTTTTTTTAATCTCTACATCTGCTCAGGTTTGCACACACTCAGATAGGTAACTCTGAAACCTCCATCCTTGGTTCTGACACTCCAGCCCCACCACGCTTCTAGCCTTCTGGCCAGGTCCACCTGCCTTCCCTGCAGCCACCTTAAGTCCAACAGGTTGGAAGACATGCTCCCCTCCCAGGCTCCTCATTCACTCTCTTACCCAGGCCTACCAAACAAGGTCCTTGGCTACTTCCTCCTATTATGTTTTCCTTTGAAATGTTTCAGATACAGCCCTTCTTTTCCATTTCTATTGCTAAATTCCCTAATCTTAGCTGTCATCACTACCACGTGGATTCATTCATTTGTTCATCCAGAAGATCGTGATTGAACACCTACTATATGCCTGGCACTGGAGAGATAGCTGTGAACACAACAGGAAGAAAAAGAATCCCTGCCACTGAGAAGCTTATGTTCTAGTGGGAGAGACAGATGGAAAACTAGAAAATATATTTTCTTAAAAAACTAGAAAATATTACTAATATGAGAAATATATTAGAAAATATATATTAAATAATAAATGCTAAGAATGCAAATAAACACTAAGAAGAAAAATAAAGCAAGGAAGTGAAAAGGTGGATGGGTTATTTATCTACAGTGATCACAGAAGCCTCATAGACTAGACCTAAAAGAAGGAGGGAGCCATTTGGTTATCCAAACATTTCAAATTGGGGACACAGTGGGAGGATAGTGTGTTTGTGGAACAAACAATGAGGGGTCCAGTATGGCTGGAGAGACTTATGCAGGGCCTTGCAGACTGTAAGGACTTGGGGTTCTATTCTGATTGAAAAGAGAAGCTATCAAAGGGTTTTAAACAATAAAATGAAACCTAATTTTTCAATTTTATTTATTTATTTATTTTTAAATTTCTCCCCACCCCCCATTCAATTTTATTTTTAACAGCTTTGGGGTATAAGTAACATATAAAGTGTACAGTTTGATAAGTTTTGACATATGTATGCACTCATGAAACCATCACCACAATCAAAATAATAAACATCCATCATCTCAAAAATTTTCCTGTGTCCTTTTTAATTCATGTTTTACCAGAATCACTCTGAGCTGCTATGTTGAAAACAGGCTTAAGAGGGGCAAAAGTAGGCGAAAGGAAAGTGGTCAAGAAGC